CGTTTCGCCGGCATCGTAGTCGGCATCGTCAGTGAGTACCGCCATCCTAAGCACCATACAGCTACTCGTCTTGTCTCTTTGACGAGTAGCTGTGTGGTGCTTAGGATGGCGATACTCACTGACGATGCCGGGGAAACGTTTGGGAATGTACCTCGTCCATGGTTCAACTTTGAAATGATCATGCAGACAATGGACCCCGGACTAGGTGCGTTCTAATCAGTCTTCCTACCAATATGACCATGTTGCGAAAACAAGGTCAAACAACCTCTGGAAAACTAAGGTCTACTTATATGATTGTGGGAGAACCCAACTACGGTGAATATAGCTCAAATAAGGCTGGTTGCCTCTTTTTTGCTTAATTATGTCGCCTTAAAATTATTTATCTTAGGCGAGCCACCTTCCGAACCAGATAAATCATGACTGAAATATTTCACTATCTGGTTGGTCAGGTTTGCTTAGACAAGGCTTAAATATTTAAAAACGCGTCAAATGATTGGGTTCGGATGATATCGCTGTGCTCAAATTGACAATAAGGTCTGAAAAACCCATGAAAATCCCCATGAAAATCCTCATAAAAATAGTCTGTTTTCAAATTAATCCAAATCAACTCTGGACACTAAATGAAGGCAATAGGGAGCTCGAGGCTCATGTTTTAGGATAAAGTAAAATGTAAATAAACAATAGTATGAGAACAGTAGTAAGCTCCAGATGTGCTACAATACCTGCGCTTCTAGGAGCCTCTTGGCACGATTCTCTTCGAGTTGAGCCTTTTTCTCCTGTTCAAGTCGTAGCATCATCCCTGCGATAGCAGCTTCTTGCTTGGCCTTTTTTGAAAATGGGAAAAATGTTAAATGAAAACGCCAATCTAATTCATTAAAATAGGCGAAAAGAAAATGAGAATGTTGTTGTTGACAATGATCACTTACGGTTTTAGTCGATAATATTTGGCGTCGATTCAAGAAATATTAGTATGTAAATGAATTTCGCCGCGCTGTTCACGAGTGGACGAACGTTTTGAACTTGCCACAACACAACTAGCACACAGAATTGAAAGTCACAGAGTCAGCAGCGATACTATGAGACCATGCATGGCTTGGACGTCGTGGGAATGGGAAAACATAAAATGGTGTCAGCCCCTATATCGTTGAAGCCTCCAATACCGGTGCAAGGATCTCAGCTTACTGAATGTAAAGCCGATGAAGGGACGTGAAGTAGAATGGTCGAAAACAAAACGTTTTGTAGGCCACATGAGGTAAGTGAGTTTGTAGAAAAAGACAAAACGCTCTGAAATGGAGTGTGGAAAGCTACGTTCGGACCAATTATGGATGGTGGATAGGCTTAAGGAAAGGAGCAGGAGAAACTGCTGAGCCAAAGGTTGGAATAGCCCCGGGTCCGGTGAAGACTTTCCATCCCACATGACTTGAATATTGCATGCATACAATACACAATAACACATTCCTAAGCATGTGTCAGCATCAAAAGATCGTACGCTGGATTATTTAAGCAAATAAACAGCTTCGATCACGTCTACTTCCTTGTAATGAATCATTAAGGATAGAGTTATGCATTAAATCTCATAATTTTTATGCAGACGATTAAGAAAAATGATCACATGTTGTCTATATTAGATTAAAACACCTATAAATTTATGAATAAAGAGTGAGTTTTGAAGGCCTCCTTAGTGATGTATTGTGACATGACTTGGAAGGAAAATTTGGTTGGAAAAAATTCGTGAATTGGTCTCATCGGTAATCGAAGGAGAATTGCCGCGAAGTGAAGAATGTGGGACTGTGCGAAGAATTCTACAGCTCACCGTGCTAAGCTTTCGTGTGTACGGCCGTGACAGACATCTTAAGAGTAAGAGCCTTTACTTTACAAAATAGCTCAGAATATACGAGACCAACACTTTTCCTCTTGGCTGTACATTCATGTTGGCACAGTGCACGAGACACCCCCCCTCGTTTCGGCCAAAAACAATATGGGCTTTCGTTCGTCATGTAACAAACACCGTCAAAGCTGGGATATATTCTTGCAAAAGTCGCAAGTAAACACTAAGTAATGAAGACTGAGCGGCTCTTTCTTATATGATATATATATATATACTCATAATGAGAAAAGTTCTTATATATAGATGGATGTTAAAGGGTTTGGTTAATTCTCTTATATTCGAGTGTGTCTATATATGTTTGTATATCTGTACGCAAAACTGAACATAACTTAGGTATTGGGTCATGAAGGCTTAAAGACCCAAGGAATAAGTACGATCGGAATTGCGGTAGTACACAAGAAACGCTGGTTGAGTTGATGAGATGTAAGCCTGTACCCATATAAGTCAGGTCACGAAACCATCAATCATAACAAGTTAGTCTGGGGTCATTAAGGTTTAATGGTCCAAGAAAAAGCACGACTAGGACTGTTAAATCTAACCGTCTGTCTTGGTTGAAGAACTTAACACTCCTGCTAAACGAGTGTGAATTTAGTTAGAAAACTATGCTCTGCAGTACAACGAGAAAAGGCCGTCGTCTCCTGGTGAGATCGACCTACAAATCCTTGTTTCATGCACTTTAATACCAAATGAAA